TACGGGAGAAGAGGTCGATGTGAGGCACCATGTGTGAGTAGATCTGGTCCCCATTAAATGTTCTCTCTCTCTCTCTTTAATTGTGACTAAAAGAACACTATGATTGGCTATCACATCAGCACCCCATAGGTACATATACTTGTCACTCAGAGACATAGACCAGATCTGCTCCTTACACCTGACACCTCATACACACATCCTACCATGCATTGGGAATATCTCTTGTACTTATTAATTATTATTCACGGGAGATGTTCCCAATGTACGGTGGATGTGCATGTGAAACGCCCATTTGTGAGGAGCAGATCCCATCTCTGCGTTGGGGTATGCTGTGAGGCATTGCGAGGCACCAATGTGAACTGTGATACCAAACACCCACTAAATACCCTCTCTCTCTCTCTCTCTCTCTAATTGTGACTGAAAGAACACTGCGATACGAGGTTACATCAACACCCCATAATCACGTATTAACTAAATGTTTAATATATATATATATTAAATATTATATATTATATGCAAGGTTCAAAGTATCATTACGTATCAGCCGATACGTATCATTCCGGGACCCCTTCAATACGCTCCTACAGTGGGTATATCGAAGGTCTGACCAGTTCAGGGGATAGAGGAGACCTAAACCGATATCGATATTTTGAACCTTGATTATATGTATGTATTATTTATAATTTATTTAGTACACTATATATATAGCTCAAATTGGCTCGGGACTAGGGGGAATAGGTTTCGGGACATTATATCAGGACCCAGAAATCGATTCACCAGTTCCAATTAGTGGAACCAGAATCGGCTCAATCGGTTTGAATCCATCAGATCCATCGGGTTGGACCCGTCCCATTGACAGCCCTAGAAATGTCTTGTGGGGCATTATGGGGCGCCAATGTGAACTCCTCTGATACCAAAGTCTCTCTCTCCATTGGATTAGATGTGCCCAAACACACACAAAAAATAGGCTTGACCCTGAAAAATAGTAAAAACTGCTATTTGGAATAAGCTTGGCTCTTGGAAGTTCGATGCCCAAACTCCAAACCGCATTCGTCTCAGTTAAGATTTTGCTACTTTGGCCTGGGCCTGAGAAACTCCCTCCAGAGTCTAGAGTCCAGAGTCCAGACCTTTATAAATAGTTTGCCAACACGGCACGTTTGCTTGTAGTTGCAGAATGAACAATAACACAAAAATTTGGTTGTAGAGTAGAGAAAATGGTTGAATTTAGATCAATTAAAGCAGCAGAGGCAGAGAGTAAAACACTTGACAAGGAATGGGGAAAGTGCAGTCCATCTAAGAAAATGATAAAGCTCTGTTTGTTAATTTGTTTGCCAACCCCATCCAGCCCCTCCCTATACCTGTGTGCGTATACGCGCAATACATTAACTACATCAAGCAAGCAACACTGTGGGTTTGGTTTGTGTTGTGACTTGTGACTTTTCTTATCGTACTGGGGTTTTGGTGACATTTCCACATCCACCCTTTCATGACTGGAGTAGTCATAAGTCATCCACCAACACCAATTGGTGAAAGACGGGATTCGATTGGATCCCAAGAGTTTTTGGGATCGGCTCCCCACATCCTAGCGTGTATTGGAAATATCTAATCTTACGTGGAGATGTTACTAATGCATCGTTGGATGTGCTGGGGGAGTCCATCTGAATTCCGATATCGAGTTTCCTAAAACCCTCTATGCCAGCTGGCAAGTGGCGACTTTCCATCTTTTCTGACTTCATACTTATCTTTTACACTTATTTGCTTATATTATTTATATTTATTATTTTAAATCTATGATACATGATACAGGAAAAGGTATGATACCCAAACAATTTTAAACAATCATTGAAACCATTTGCGCTAATACCATAGAATCTAAGCCCACACGATGAGGTAGTGTCTTGTGAGCAGTAGGGATATGGGAAGAGTTTGTGGGTAAGAGATTGGTATGAAAACGATATCTCACCATTAAAACCAGAGAGAGTTTTTAGATATTTGAAAAAATAAAAAAGAAAACAGTGTATACTACTTTAAAGCTTCATTGCATAAGACATCAACATGAATATAGAGTAAAATGGTGATTGCAACCAAATGGGTTCTAGTATTCTTCTTCTTCTTTTCTTTTTTGATAGAATAGGAATACAAAACATATAGCTTTCATTTATTTACTAAACGTTTATACTTGATTTATTTATAAAATCGAGAAAAATAATAATGAAATTGTTTATTGACAATTAAGCACCATTAAACACTACATCAACATAACGGTGAATAAATGCCTAATCGTTGAAAGCTTCCCCCAACAGTAGGTGTACACATAAATCAATGCCAATTTTTGCAAGTCTCTATACATGCGGATCGACATGATGGGCTAAATGATGAAATAGCACCTATGTGGCAGTGTTTATTAAAAATGCCCATGATTCCAAACACCACCTAAATTAGTTTTATGATCAAAATTGGCAAGTCACTGAGCGACAAAGTTTGCTTCTTTGAATGCATGATTGTAGAAGATGGTAAAGTTGTTCTAGTTACATTCTTAATAGCATTTCTCTCCTTCAAAAATAACTAGGGGTGAAAGAAAAAAAAAAGGCAAAAAATAAAAAAATTGAACCGAACCAATGAAACTGAACCGATTGGTTCAGTATTTTGGAAAAACTGAAAGTATCAATTCAGTTTCAGTTAACCAAACCAACTGACATACATATTATATATATATATATATATATTTATTTATTATATATAATATTATAAAAAAAACTGATAAATCGAATTAATGGTTAATCGAACCGATTGAATGATTAATCGATTGACTTTGATTTGATTTCAGTTATCCGTTTTTCAAAAAACTGATACCACGAGTTCGGTTAAAAAAATAAAGATGTATGATTAATCGAACCATGAACACTACTATTGATATCTATAAGGAGTTTTGTTCTTATGCTAACAGCCGAAGTTTTCAAATTGAGATTTGTTTCTCACAATTAATTCACAGCCAAGTAAGAGAAAGGTTACCAACGTGCGGTTAGAACATGCTGTTACGTCGGTGTGAGGAGCCATCGGTTAGTACATGCTGTTAATTCAGTGTGATGAGCCATCTGTAAAAAACATATCGGGATTCGGGACACGAAGTTTTCCCCCATAAAAGTGATAAAACCATGTAGTAGCAAAAGGAAATTCATGTGCACTTTGATAAGTTCACATGGGTGGGTTTGTTTATCAAAATTGATTGGTTAAAGCTCTTTCCATGTCATATTTTTTCGGCATTATTGATTTTTCTTTTTTTAATACCACGTGGATTATTTGCCATTTTTTTATTGGATTATATTTGTTGAAATTGATACGAGATTTTGATTGATTACGGCACCTCTTTGTGACCATAAAAATTGTCCTAAATAAAATAATAAAAATAACACCGCTTGGATATCTCTTATAGAGTTTGTTTTAATATATTCATCATCTTTCTACCAAAAAAATGATAAAATACAAAATCCTCCCCTGAGTTTTCTAGCAATCATAAAACCTTCCTTATGTTTATACTTCAGCAAAAGCCTCCCCTATACTTTTTAGAAAATATACAACTTCATCCCTTTCTAGACAGAAAAGGCGACCTAATGTATTTGTTTTTTTTAAATACCTATTTTGCCATTCCTCCAAAACACTAATCATTTTATTCCTAAGAAGTAAGAACTAGAGGCCATCAGCCTTTCATCGCATACCCATGGCCATGGTTTCTCCTGAACAGAATCAATTTCCAAGAGCTTGAGACATGGTCTATTAATCTATCGCCCCCATTTCCTCTCTTCCTCTTCAAAAATAGTCTATAGGAAAAACAAAAGTTTGCAAGTTGGGGTTGTTTTATAGGAAAAACGAAAAGTTGCAATTAGGCTGCAACTCGTTACAGTATTCAAATGGCCAAATGGCTATTCAAGCCTAAAATAGCTAATAGTTTTGCTATATTTTTCAAGGGTCAATGATGAATACCTTTTAAGTGTAATTTCTAACCGGTACCTGATTCAGTAATGGGTTTGGCATGAAACTTAATTTGACTGATGGGTTTACTTCAAATAATTCAATTTTAAGAAGAAATTTTTAATACAAAGTTGAAAGGGGATTCATCTCATGGAATTAAACAAAATCGATGGATGCCACAAGTGCTATTGGGATTCGATTAGACATCTCTCATCACTACTCCAGCTTACATAAGGTGTGCCATCGTCTTCCACCAATTCATGTTTTGTCTCCAAAAGTACCCATTTTCATGGACATTCAACTTGTACATGCTTGATAGGTATAAATTAAATACCTTGAGACACACTCGAGACAAACTTGTTAGCTATCGTATAGTCTTCTACCAATTATTCGTCCCTACAAGTCTAATCTTATCCGATATTCAGCTTTGGAATTATTGACACAAGACAAAAGAGGTTGAAATGCAAGTTGTGTTAGTTAAATACCTTGAAACACATTCAAGTTGGCCTCATTGTAGCGACTGGTGAGGCCGAGATACCACAATGTTTCTTATTTTCCTTGTGTGGTGGTGGGTGTTTGTGAAATTGCAGGCAAAGAAAGAACTGATAAAGACTCGATCGAGTGGAGATGGTGCACGAGATTAGGAAGGCAAAAGAGGCAAAAGCCGAGATGTAGCCAAGGCCAAACAGAAGGCCGAGACAGAGAAAGAGAGAAATGACGACTCTGGTTTTTTGTTATTGGGAAGAAAATGAACAATGTTTTGGAGGAAAGTTTAATAAATCTACATCTAAATAGATATGCATAAGGGTAAAATAGGCATTTTCAAAAATCAAACACATTATTTCGGCTTTTTTGTCTACGAAGGGAGGTAGTTGCATATTTTCTAAAAAATGCAGGGGAGGTTTTTGCTAAAATATAAACATAAAGGAGGTTTTTATGATTGTCAGAAAACTTAGGGGAAGTTTTTGTATTTTACCCAAAAAAATAAACATTCATCGTCAGGCTAAACTGTATAAAAAACGCTAATGAAATTCAAATGGCGCCACTATTATTGTCAATCGAATTAACGCACACGCATCTTAAAATGGAGTAGCAGGTCAGGTCTGGATTCGAGTTGTTGCAGAGAGAAATGGCGCGAAGGAATCACGGCAGCAACAGCACCACCACCACCACCAACAACAGCAACGAATGGGTAATCATTTTTTTCTAATCTTTATTTATTCTTCGTCCTCAGATTCTAATCCTCCTGATCTTTTTTGTCTTAATTTTCTTTTTCTTTTTCTTGCTAATTTTGTGGGCGTGGAACAGACGTCGAGCTTTCTGTCAATGGGGGAGCGGCTATGTGCGGCTTTCATACCGTTTATTGCGTTAATTGAAGTACTCATATTCGCTATGGCCGATTGCTTCGATTGCCACCCCAACAACAAGAAGCCTTCATATAGATATCATGACCTTGCTCGCCTCGCAAAGAATACACCATGTTCGTTTTAATTTTCCCCCTCTAATTTTTTCTTTTTATTTGCCTCCTAATTTTCTGTTTAATTTGTGGTTATTTTTCATTTAGGATTCTTGCATTTTCTCTTCGGCCTGATCATTTTTGTTTTTGGGTTCCTTTATGATAGTTACCGTGAACGAAGTGGAGGCCTTGCACGAGCTGTTCAAGAAGCTCAGTAGCTCCATTATTGACGATGGCTTAATACACAAGGTAGGTGCAAAGATTCGCATCTGAATCATCCACGGATCAATTTCCAACTTTCTTTTTTTCTTTGCTATGGTAGATTTTCTGTTACTTTTAAATTCTCAGGAGAACTTCCTGGACACTCAGAATCTAAGTTCCAAAGAGTGCAAGTGACATATTCTGTGTTTGTGTGGATATTCCATTTCTTTTGGAGAATTTCCTGCCTTTTGAAATGCTTGAATTTTGATGGCTTGCTTTTAATTATGCGTACTTATCAAATATGACAGCTCTGAAAATCCTCCTGTTTAGTAAGAGTTATTTGGAGAATTCTGGGTCTTCTATAAACCTTGTAAGTCCCTTGTCGTGATTAATGGGCTATAGGCTTGAAGTTGCCAATGACTAGCCACTCTCCTCTTCATGGTAATGGATTATTAAGATAGGACCTAATCTAGATGATGTTATAAGTTCCATCTCATTTGATTTTGTCTTGCCTCAATACACGTTTTTAAGATAACACTAGAAATAAAAAAAATGACATAATAGTGGGCAAATACAAAATAATACATTCATATATACTATATGTACAGAACTCCCGCCACTGTGATCATACTTATGGTCACCACCACTGATGAAGTAAGCAATTGGTTAACCATAAAATAGGAGAATCTAGATTCACTAAACACAATTTCAATGCAGAACTAAATACATTATTCTGTGTAATTCAGTTTTTGAACAAACACACATGTTGTAGGTGGTAAACAAACTTCAGGCCCATGTAGCATAATTGAAATGAGAACCTGGAAACACATTTTCATTGAGTTGTCAATGTCATTTGAACACTGTAGGATTTATCAAAACCCACTGAAACCATTTTATACTCGTTAGCATCTTATAACTAATGTATAGGAGCTGTCCTTTACCTTGGGCTAGATTTGCCAGTTTTTACTCTGATGGCATACCTTGATCCTTTTGTAAGTGTTAAGCGACTTTCCTGTATTTACTTTGTATGTTTTTGCAAACCTTGTCTGTCTCATATGGTTATGTTTAATGTGTCATATCTGTTTACTTATCAAAAAAGCGTCTTATCTGTTTTGTAGGAAGAGCTGCAGTTGGCATTATTCAAGACTCCATCTGGTGAAAATCTTTTTTTGGATAGGGTAAATCCATAAAAACTATTCTATCATTATTTTTAATATTTCCCTTTATAAATTCATACCAAGTGGCATCATGAGTTTCTGTATTTCTTCCGACCATGGTTGATTCATGGAATCATGGCATGTTGATTATGACATACATGTAACTTGGTGCAAATAGAAGGCTCTGATAGAGCAAGGGGAAGGCCTAAGGGGACTATGTATTAGTGAGAATTCAGAATTTATGTAGGACTTAAAACTTGAATGAGGACATGGCTCTTTATAGAATTCAATGGTAGAACAGAATTTATATAGCTAACCTATAACAAAAAAGGATTTATATAGCTAATACCAAATAGTAGGGATTAGTCTTTGTCAAGTAGAGCTTCGGACATGTATACATGCATGCTGCTGGAAAAAACTTAGATTTACTTTTAGGGGATGCAATTCTGAGTAGGGTGCCATTGCCTGGTAGAATGGTAAAATCTTGGGCTGACAAGCATGACAGGTTTGAGTCTGAGGGTATCCTCTTCATTACAAAGATTCATGAGGTTACCCAGTCCACCCCTCCAAAGACCCAAGATCACTGGAACCATCGCAGGGTTTATGGCCTTATGCATCATGATTCTGTTTCATGGGAAAGACTTTTTTGGATGTCAGTGAAGTCCTAACTCCTAACTGACATCATGAGCCTCTAAATTTTACTGCATCTTGGTCAATTCATGGGGTTATGGCATGTTGAACTACAGTTTATGTTGTTGAAAGAACTTGGATTTGCTTTTTGGAGGCATGATTCTGTTTCTTGGTGAAGCCATGTTAAGGATATCAACAATGTTCTTTAACACACAAGAATATGGATATATTCAGGAACCAGCTCTGAGTTCAAACCTAGTAGAATATACAAGTTCCAGCATTATTCTGAGATAATTTTCTCTATATATTCTTCTCTTTTTCCTCTTTGATGAAAATAAATGTATTTGTCTGATTTATGTGTGGATATGACACCTCCAAACTGATGGGTTAGTTTAGCCGTGTAAAAACTTGGAATGTGTATCAATACTTTGCACTGTGCACATAATTTCTTTAACATCCTGATCATGTTCCAATCTGAAGTTGGCAAAAAAAAAAAGGTTGCACTAGGCACTCTTAGACAAGGTGTCATGAGAAAGGACATGTAAGGTAGCAACACTTTGGTTTTCCTGTTTTTAATTTTCATATTCTTCTCAATGTCTTAACATTATTTATGTCCTTTATAGGATTTTTGGCTTTAGTGACTCTTGGACTTTGCAAAAGGGCCAACTTCCCACTCAAACTATGGTGAAAAGGCCATTTTAAGACAAAAACAAATTACATTAGAGATGCCATTGACAGTTCTGTTAAAGAAAACAAAAAAAAAGGCTCTTTCGACTCATTTTCAAGGGAAAAATAACATGTGGGTCCCAATTAAAATACCCACCTCTCTCTCTCCCCTCTTCTCTTCTCTTCTCGTTTTTTTCCCTTTCTCTCTTCTCTTCTACCCAATCCCCTATTCTCTACAACTAAACCACACGACCACCCAGGAATCCTGTAACCTCCAACTCAAAGTGATCTCTTGCAGGCATCTTAAAGCCTTCAATTTCTTCCAAAAGTTTTGCACCTATGCTGTCATCTCAATTGTCAACGATGAGTCACAACAGAAGCAACCACTGCAGATGCAGAAGCATAAAACACCAATTAACAGAGGAGACGGAAACCCCGAATGGAATCAGAGAAGTTCGTGTCTTGTTCAAACATCTTGTGGTTGAGTTTGATGGAGCCATTAGATTCATTAGTTATTAGGTTGATCTGCCGATGGAAAACAAATCGAATTTTGAATTTCTCTATTCATTACCCAAAGATAAATTATGTACCACTACGGGCACCTGGAATTCATTATCCAGCCCCAACAGAGGTTTATTACCCAGCCCCAGCTCCACCTCCGCCACCTCGTCCTATTGCTCATTATCATCGCTCCTCCACCACTGCCTTCACCGTCGTTGTTGTTGGTATATCCTATGCCATTGAAGTGGTACAGATTGGGATCAGGAGGATATAGTTGGGAGGGCACTCGGGGATGGTAGTGGGCAGTGGAATAGGGGATTGAAGGAGGGGAGGGGAGAAAAAGAAAAAGAAGAAGAAAAAGGATGTGAAGGAGAGAGAGAGAGAGAGATTGGTGGGTATCATTTGGCTGTGGGAGGACACTTAGGGACGGTGGTGGGCAGTGTAGGGGATTGGGTGGAAGGAGAGAAGAGAAAGAAAAAACAAGAAGAAACGAAAGAGGATAAGAAAAGAGGAGAGGGGGGGAGGGAGGGATGGTAATGAGCAAAGTTAAAGGGTCACTAGAGCCAAAAATCCTTTATTATTCATTGTCATGTCCCCTTGCCTTGATTTCTAAAGGTTGACATGATGAACAATTATGGACACTTGAATACTTGGCACCCCTGCCATGTATCAAGGTAACAGTGGTAACCAATCTTCAATGCTTAGCCTGAGCATGATAAGGTAGATTAAAAATATGTATGGCACGCTTGCATGCACTTTGGAAGTTAAAGTGTATAATGGCTTCTCTTCTGTAAATGAAGAGCTGGAGGTTATTATTTCAACTTCCAGCCATGTTTCCTCCCTTCTTTGGGATCTAGACCAGCTTGATACTTCATATCTCAGTTATAAATTGGAATTTGTTTCTTATTAATATGCACACATGGTTCCTTGTTATCTAGTCATATTACTTCCAGATATGCAACACTATCCCAAAATGTATCCTTGCAAACTTGAAATTGTTTATTCTTACATGAAAAAAAATGTAGGCAAGAATATTTGTATAAGTTTGCCCTTTTGGCTTCATGATGTGCTGCATTTATCTACTATTTTCTTTTCCTTTCTAGGTTTTTGATCTTTTTGATGAAAAGAGAAATGGTGTTATTGAATTTGAAGAGTTTGTCCATGCACTCACTGTCTTCCATCCTTATGCTCCTTTGGAGGACAAAATTGATTGTAAGGGTTCCTGAAGTCCCTTCTTTGCTTGTTTATATACAATTGAAATATATAATTAATTGGTATAACACCTTCAGTTTTTTCTCTGAAATTCCTGCAGTTGCATTTCGGCTGTATGATCTAAGACAGACTGGGTTTATCGAGAGGGAAGAAGTGAGTATCTTGACATGTATGACACAACTTTAGATGTTTTTTTTTTGGGTAGCATAATTAGATTTGCAGCTACACAACTCAAAGGTGTAAAGTTTGAAACTTTGAATACTTGGATTTGCACTTTAATGCAAAAGGGAGGGATACTGAATGCATGTTTTTCCACTACATCTATTATCATTTTGATTAATTTACTTGGAGACCTCAGTTTATGAATTACTTACCTATGGGTTGAAATGTGTAATTTGTTTCTAATTCTTGGTTTACAAGTGAGTGCCAAACCTGTCAATATTGGGGAACTTGGAAGGGCACTTCTAATTGGAACAATGGATCTACAGTTGCTTATCTATGTCTTGGCGTGATTTTTGGCATTTTATCATTCTATAGTACAGATATTTGATGTTTTGTCCTGTACTTAGCCTCTTTCTTTTCTCAGGAAAATGGTTCTATAGGGCATCCCATGTATAAGCCCCTTGGAAACCATTTGATTTGATCCATTTAATACCCATTGGCATGAATACCCTCTTACTTTTGCCATAAGTTCATTCATAATAAGATCAGAAGGGATTTTTAATGAAGGGGAGAACAATCTTTCATTAGGCAAACCTTGATGGTGTAACCATAGATGTAGATATTATCCTTTTCCATAAACCAATAACGTTATTTAGTTATCTATCAAAAAAAAAAAGTTTCATAAGGCAAAGGCATGAGATAGTTGTCAGGACCTCTAGATGTGTAGGGATGAAAGTCTCAAACTTGAGACTTAAGAGTCAGGTGACCCCTGCTGTTTGTTGTGTGTGTGTGTGCATTGGTTCATTGTGTAAGCATACTCATATGTCATATGACTTTAGCTCCTTGTTCAACTTTTTCGATTTTGATCAACAGAGCTTCTTTTTTCAATTCCATATATTAACTAGAATATAAAACTTCCATACCCTTTTAATATCACCTTTTGGTTTGTCTCCCTAGTGTGTCAATAAATGTTCTACACTTGAATAGATTTGTGCTGTGGAAGGGAGTTTTTTCATTAAGGGATATTAGTTGTCTCCCTGGAAGCTATGATCTGATTTTATGCTTCACATCCCATTGTTTTGGCTTCATCATGTAAGGGAGGCAGTGTTACAGCATTTGATTCCTTTTTTTTTTTTTAATCAGTAAAAGAGAATTTTGTTTAAAATAGGTCAAGACAAAGTTTTACAACAGGTAGATGTGAATGCTGCTTCCAATTAGTACATATTTCTGTTCCACTTTACAGCATTTGATTCTTTACCTTGCATCCTTTATTTTAATTGTTCTGACAAGAAAAAAAATCCCATCATCTTAATAATGTTTGCTCAAAGAATTTTATTTTCATTTAGTGAAGAACAAGGTTCAAAATGTCGATACATCCAATACACAGGAAGGGGTGTATTGAGACTTTTTACCTTACGCTCTTTTTTTTTTTTTCAAATTTCAGTTTTAGGTCTGTTTTTATTGTTTAATCAATAATAAAAGCAGTTTCCTCAGAACACTTTTAAATAGGTGAATTGAAAACTCAAAGATACAATAAGATACACGGGGTTGTGATAATTTTAGTTTTTCTTCACAAATTTGTTGTCCATCATATATTCTTTCATCCATATCATTTTCATTCTGCCATGAATATTTTTAACCTTGTGAAAAATTATTTTAGTAAGCTATTACTGTTTCAGGTTAAGCAAATGGTTATTGCTATTTTGATGGAATCAGAAATGAATCTGTCAGATGATCTTCTTGAAGTTATTATTGACAAGGCATGGGTTCAGCCAATTTAAGTTTCCTGTTTTATTTTTGTATAATCCTTTAAGGGCTGTAAACTTACTACATTATCAATTTTTGGGCAGACATTTGAAGATGCTGATACAGACATGGATGGAAAAATTAACAGAGAAGAATGGAAGGCTTTTGTTCTTCGACACCCCAACCTTTTGAACAATATGACACTACCTTATTTGAGGTATACCACTTGTTTTTGTCTTATTCTTTTTTATATTACTATTATAGCATGTAACTACTGCCTTTTTTATTTTTAATTTTTTGATGAATGAGGAAATTTTATTAGAGAAGGGAGAATAAATAGATGCAAGAGACTCATGGAGAGGCATGAGCTGCGACCTCTCCAAACAATCAAAAACTAAAACAGATTACAACTGTGCCTAGTACAACTGTTCCCTATTTGCCCCTTGCTTGGCTAAACAATCAGCCATAGCATTAGTTGATCTTCCCATCCATTGTATTCTGACACATAGATTTCTTGTCAGCCACTTGAATTTTTTAAGTTCATTCTTAAAGAACCAAACCAGCCTTTGGGTTCTGTAGCCATCCCACAACCACCTTGGAGCCATCTTCTATTACTAGCTGTTCCACTCCTAGTTGTACTGCAAACTGTTGTACCCCTTGAAGGGCAGCTAGAAGTATCGCCCTGGTGGAGTCCCATTCACCTAAAGAGCATAAGAGAGCCACAGTACCACTTTCATTCCTTAGAGCCCCTCCCATCGTAGAGAGACTTGCGTTACCTTGACTACTGCCATCAAAATTTAGTTTCAAAAAGCCTTCAGGAGGGGGTACCCAACTCATGTACACCTTGATTTTCAGAGAGGAGCTGCTTGCTGCTGCTGCTGCCCAATGTCTCCAAAGATCATTAAAAGAAAATTGGTGAAATAAGTCCAAGGATTTCAGCCACGAGATAGTCCTATACAAGATACACTCCTTCGGTTCATGTTGGCTTTTCTCCTTCTCTTAGAATAACCTGGCATTCCTTTCTTTCCACATTGTCCATAGCAAAGCTGCTCTTGCACACATCCACATTATCCTTCCTCTTCATTGGTGCCAAGCAAAGGTATATGGGTCAAAAAGCATGCTTACTTTTGCTGGCCTATTCCACTTGCACCCAAAATCGAGAAGAACCAATCCCACAACTCTGTAGTAACAGAATGGGAAATTAGCAAATGGTAACAATCCTCACCATGAGATCTGCAAAAAGTATACTAATTAGGTGAGATGCAAAGATAAAGTCTTCTCTTTTGTAGATTATCCAAGGTGTTTACTTTCCCATAGAACACTTCCTAATAGAATGCCAAAACCTTGGGGGGTACAGGCCTGCACTAAACCTCCTTAAAAGGGAAAGACTGTAGAGACAGAGAACAGCAAAGGGTCTTAAAGAAAGAAGCACAAGAGAAATAACCCAAGAGCAAAGGTGTCCAAATCCTTTTGTCTGGCACCGTGGGATCCAAACAAAATTTTTCAAGAAAACTTAATAAGCAGGTTAGACTCTCAATCTCTTCATCCCTTAAGCCTCTCCAGAAACCAAAATCCCAAACTGGTGCAAAAGGAGTTTTCCTAATGGGAAAAAAATTTTGATACAGGCTCTTTTTTTAAACCAAGAGATCGTAAATAAGGGAGGAAAGAGGTCCTTCAAAGGAGCCTCTCCAACCCAAGTATCATCCAAGAAAAGGACCGAATTACCATTACACCTAACAAAGTTGTGAAGTTAAGGGAGATTATTGTGAATTGCCTTCCAAGGTGTTGCCCAAGTTGCCCACCGAGAGATCCCAACATCCCATCATGCCACAATCTTTCTCTCTAATGGCCATCTCCACAACCACTTCCCCAATAATGTTGTATTATTTTGCATTATATTCCATATTCCCAAACCTCCTCTTTACTTCTCCACACCACCTCCCACTTTAATAGATGATCCTTCCTACTTTCCCCCAGCTCCTAAAGGAATTCCCTCATTAACTTCTCCAGTTTCTTAGCTTCCCTAGAGGGTACCTCCTAAAGATAGACAGAAAATAGGTTGGTAGGTTAGCCAGGGCAACTTTAATCCAGGTGGCTCTACCCCCAAAAGATATATAATTCTTCTTGCACGAAGCCAATCTCTTTTCAAACTTCTCTACAACCAGGCACTAGAAACTACTCTCCCTAGGGTTTGCCCCTAATGGGAGTCGGGAGTCCCAGGTAGGTCATAGGCCAAGTAGAGATAGAACACTCTAAACACCCCGCAGACTGCAATAATCTCCACTTCTCTATTTTCTAAATTTACCCCTACCACACTACTCTTTTCAAGATTGACTCTCAAATTGGAGATCCTTCCAAACCTTTTCACCAATGTTAATTCTCTAACCATGCCTTTTTTTCACCCATTTACCACTCCATTACCCAAAATAGAGAAATGACTAGAGCCGATACAACCACGAATCCACTTACACTACCTTTCTCCAGACCCATAGTTTCTCAATACTTGTAAGAGGAATTTCTAATCCACTAAATCATAGGCCTTTTCCAGACCAAACTTACAAACAAAACCTTTCTTCTTGGATCTTTTCATTTACTCCAGGCAGTCATTAGCTACTAGAATCTGGTTTGTAATTTGTCTCCCTTGTACAAAGGCCCCATGGGATTTGTTGATTAAGGAAGGAAGAACTTATTCTATCCTCAAGGACAGTGCCTTAGCTAAGATTTTGTACATACTAGTCACCAAGCTAATTGGTCTAAAGTCCTTAGGATGAATAGCATCAACCTTCTTAGGAATTAAAGCCAAAAAAGTAGCATTAACTCCTGGGCTTACTATGTAAATCTGCATCTAGGCTCGATGCCTTAAACCTATCCTTCAAAAACACTGCCCTTTTAATCTCCTCTTCTTCAAAACTTCTTTTCATCTCCCAAACTTGGCCATCCAAACCTTCCAAAGGTAATCTCTCATTCAAAGGTCTTCCATAAAATGATTAACAAACTCTTGGTTAGTAATTCTATCCCCTTCTAATTCTAATTTGGCTACAAAATTTTTCCTTCAATGCCCATTTTCCAAATCATGGAAAAATCTGGTGTTCCCATCACCTTGTTTAATCCACTAATGCCTTGATTTCTACCTCCAACAAATCTCCTCCCTTAGCAACACATGTTCCAGATCCTTTTTTCAGCCGTCTTCTTTGCTCTCTATCTTGTTCATTCAACAACCCTCGGAATTCCTTCTCATCCTACTCTTCAACTTGAGTGATAAGGTTCAACTTTTGTTCCTCCACTCTTCCGAAATGATCTCTGAGGGCAGCTGGAGCCAGAACCTGGGAAGGATTTGCAATTGCTCCTGGAGAGGAAAAATTAACATTCTCCAATTTGCAGATGACACTCTTTGTTTTCTTTACGCTGATCCTGATCAATTAGAGGTGTTACTTGGAGTTCTTTGTTGGTTTGAAGTGGTCTCAGGATTAAAGGTGAATCTGGGCAAGAGTATGACCATTCCTATAGGACAAGTTGCAAATTTGTAGGATTGTGCTAGAGTGTTGGCTTGCAGAGTGGGTTCCTTCCCAATAAAGGATTTGTAGTTGTCTTTGCTTGGATTTCATCATTTTTTGCTGACAACTACCTTACTGTGTAAGCTTGGGCAGTGTTGTATTTACTAACAAGGTAGTTGTCTTGACTTCACTGACAACTACCTTTTCTTCTTCTAGAACAGAAGTTCTGTATTGAAACTATCTTCTTCCAACATGCCCACCTTTGTTTGCAAATCAACAATGCCCAAGCTTACTGTGCCATCCATGTCTGAATCTGAATCTTCACTGGCTTCTTTTTCAGACCATTCCCCATCTTTTAAGAAAGATCTTTCTTTTTATGCACATGGGATTTCATCTATCAGGTGAAAACACCTTCAATTTCTTTGAAGGGACCCACTGTAAGGAGCAATTGGAGAGAGACCTTGCTCCTGAGTTGTGGCAACTAGGTGAAGAACCCAAGGAAGACGACGATAGACTGTTTTTCCCTTCTAGCCTAGTTATCCCCTTTTTGATCATGTGAGTCTTAAGTAGACCTGTTCATGGGCCAGATAGCCCGACGGGATGGCCCGGCCCGACCCATTATTAAGTCGGGCTTGGTCATACTTTTAGGCCCGCAAGATCGGGCTCGGGCTTTCTCAAAAAAGCCCGGCCCGAGACCGAGCCCGACTTGATACAATATATTAAATAATAAAAATATATTTTATTTAATAAAAAATATATACAATATTTTTTCTTTGTTCTTCTCTTTTTTTCCAAGTAATAGTGAGACGTTTATTATTTTTGAGTTTTGAAGGTTTTTAATATAAATAAAACACTTTTTTATTGAATAAAAAAAGAAAACAATTTTCTGTTTTCAAATTTCTGGTCGGGCTTGGGCCCGGGCTTCAGGCTTTATATGAGGGTCGGGCTCAGGCTCAAGACTTAGGCCCAATGGTTGGGCCGGGCTTGGGCTTGGGCCTGACTGTATTCTGTTGATACATATACAAAGCCCGGCCCAGCCCATGAACAGGTCTAGTCTTAAGTGACTCACGTGTCTCCCCTATGGCTGTTTCAAAAGAGCCAACATGGGCCTCTTTTAATCCTTTGGCCCACGACCCAACTGAATATTCATGAAACATGGGCTTTTGTTCTTTTGTCAGCCCATCTTTGAAGACTGCGAGCCCACATGACTTTATAATCTTGTGAGTTCAATCTCCAACTGGTCAAACTCTTTAGACCTAGTCCTTTCCTGAACCATCACCTCCTCTTTGTTTAAAACTGCTAATTTGGTGCCAGTTACGACCTGCGCAAAAGTCCAGCCGCCCTCCAGTCTGTTTCCTTCACCTGCACACATCAGACTTTCCCCTTGTTCTCTACCTTTTGGTTTCCCCCAACATCTGCATTCCCATTTTAGTGCAATTTCTATTCTTGTTAAACCAGCCAATCCCCTAGTGCTGCACAGCTCTTCTTCAACCTTCTCATCTCCCTCGCTGTGAGCCTCTTTCCAAAGCAGAGCTTCAATGGATGAAGCCATCCAGACTGATACAAACTGCCCTTACACTTTCAGATCTATCTTTCGTGGTATCTCCTCTGGCTTCACTCCACTTGGTAAGATAGCTGCAGAGTGGAGATCTCCCCAGTAAGCATCTTCAGGTGTCCCTCGACACATCTGTGCAATAGATTCAGCAATTTCTTGCTTCCACAAGTGAAAAGGCAAGCGTAAGATTCTCACAGTACCCCATCTTCAACAAAGAGGTCTCTGGAGTTTGACCCTGGACACCATTTTGAGATTGTAAATTTCCCAAAGTCTGCTTGGATGTTTAAGGACGCAATTTCTACTCTGTTCTCAAGCAGATGCAGCACTGCCTTACACTTCTCAAAAGGGGTTAAAATGAACATCCTCTTCAACTTCAATCTTTCTGTTAATAAATCTGCAACTCTACTCCAGTCTTCAAACCCGGTTTCTGCTTCAACTACAAGTTTATTTTCCCAGTCTTCTTTCTTTAGATTAGCTTCCATTTTGTGTCTCCCTGCACCATTCACCAGTATTAGAACCTTTTTCTTGCCAGGCACATCCTGGCTAGCAGTAATAAGTTTCTTTTCCTTCTCTGTTAAATTTTCTACTTGTTTAGCCAGCCGTCCAATGCAACAGCTCACTTAACATCTCGTTAACTTCCTTCCAACCCTGACCTTTTATTCCCTATGGGAAACAGACAATCTGCTTCCTACCCTTACCAAAGTATTCAACCAGTGATATAAATGAACCTTTAGAGTTTCTCTTGCATTCTACTACATATCTTCTTCCAGCTTCTGAAGGGTACCCCTTCCAGTTGGGTTGCTTACCTTCGTTATTCGCTCCTTTCACAAAATCTTTGAGCCATTCAATCACTCCCAAACCTTGTAGCAGCACCATCCCCTACTACATATCTTCTTCAAGCTCAGCAGACATTTCAATCTCATTTCTTCAATCAGGAACTCCTTAACTTCTACCTTCAAAGTTTTTTTCCAATGGCCTGTCGCCACAAACTTTCCCGTGGCCTTCAAAGCCTACGGACCTCAACTCCCACTCTAGTAGCCTCACACAACAAAATGGTGTTACTGCCTTTTTGAATTTTACCAAGTAACTGGCATAACTACACATATCTTCTTGTTCCCAAGAGACACTAAACCCCATTTATGTCTTTATTATGGCCTTGATGATTGAAAATAATTCCTGGGTGACTGTTGGTTTTGGATTTTCAGCCTTTCCAATTGGGACTTGTGTTTAGGGTTACAACTTGGGCTGGGTTAACCCAAAGCCATCCCAAAAAAGTCGGCTTGGATTGAAGTTCAGATTGGGGATAGGGTTGAAAAATATGGGTCCCACTTAGCTTCAACCTGAACTGACATGTCTATATTTTGTATGTTTCAAGTATTATATAAACATGTATGGTAGTATGGTAGAATACATGTATAACATATATGTAGTAATCTTAAGTCTAAAAAATAAGAACATTTAGCAAAATGAAGTGAAGAAACCAGGCTATCCTGATCAAAACCCAACCTGAAAAAGTTGGGTTGGGTTAGGGTTGACCTCAACCCAACTTGATCCCTACTTGTATTTCAACTTGGAAGCAGTCTGTGTTTGCTTATGGTGTTTCTACTTACATTATTTCTCAGGTAGATATCAGGGGTTAATCATTACTAATTAGAATGCTGAAAGTGTGGGATTCAGTCCCAGTCTGGGGTTTGAACATTAAAACACCCCTGCCAAAAACAAAGGAAAATTTACCAACTAAAGTAGATCTCTCGCTGATTACCTGGAATTGAGACCTAACTTTTCTATAGGATTTGTGTCAGTGGTTAGATAATGTTTTTTTAACAAAAATTCTATAATTGGGACTATATTCTTTCTTCAGCCCTTTTTGATTCCCACGATTGGTTGTTACAGTAACTTGTATTTATTTTCAGAATCATAGTTTAGGAGTCTTACGTACGTAATGAAGTAAATGAGATAAAACTTATATTATCAACTGCTTAAATGCACTATAGATCTATAGCCAGTCGAGGTGAATAGGTATAAGCCTATAGGAAGTCTGTCATAAGTTTTGCTCGAGTCTTTTATTACTTGCAAAATGTTAATGTTACTCGATACATTCATTATCCTACAGGGACATCACTACAGTGTTTCCAAGTTTTGTTTTCAACACAGAGGTTGAGGACAACACCTGAATATAGAACAAACAAGCACAAGACATCAAGAGAGACCATCAAGGGGTGTTTGAAAGCTTCAGTTCGTGTCACTTCTCCAGGCCATCAACAAAGTTGGGTCTTCTATCTGTTTTGAAGCTATACCTCGCATCATCCGTGCGGCTGGTAAGGATACTCGTTCTGCCAAAGCTCATGACAGACCATAATTGCTGCTGCATTCGGTTGCCATTGAACATGAGTGTGTTGATGTAAATCCTTCATAATTTATACTTGCACAGCGAACGGAAAATTAATTGTATTGATTAAGATTGTCGGCAGAGGTACTCTGTGTTCCAGTTGTCTGTAATTTTTATTCTGTTTTTTCTCTTTGTAGCCCGATATAGTCTCCTTTAAGGATCATCCCTGGTTAAGCTTCCAAAATGGACCTGAACTCGCTTTCCATCTCTCTGAATTATGCATCATGAAGCATTTTAATATTCAACCTATATATGGACGGTTTCGAAGCTTTGACTATTTAGGGACCCATTTGGATCAACTAACCCATATTTACATAATGGACCTGTCTATTTTAAATGGTAGCCCTTTACTAGATAAGTACGTCACAGAATTGATATGATTTATTACCTTTATTATTTGAGAAAAAAAAAGACACCATATACTAATTAGGAATTGTTTACGGATTTTTCTCAAGGTCTCTCTCTCAATGTCGCATTAAAAAATAATTTTATACTGCCGTTATCTAGGGGTGATTATCAACCCATCCTTTATTTTCTTTTTAATTTGGTAAGAAAGTCAGCAAATGTGTGTTGAATCCAATTAATAAATTAAGGCTATATTTGGTTTGAAGGAAAAGGTAGAGAAAGGAACAGAAACATTGGTTCGTCTAAATATAAGATTTGTAAAGGTTTTCCTACATTTCCTTCTTTTTCCTACTTTTTCTTTCAAACCAAACACAGCCTAAGGGTTATTCTCTGAGAATTCGGATTAGCTTTCAGCTGGTTGTGGGACCAATGGTGATGCCCCAGTGATAAAATACATGAGTTATATTGAGAAATTAAATGGTTGTAGGTCCCATGTATTTAGATATATCATTTGTTCCATAGTCCGTTATACAACTATAATCCTTACTCCTTATCTGAAGCACACCTTTACTTTTATGACTTTCTCCTAAACTAACCGTAACATTTTTGATATCTCCCAGTGACCCCCTGTTAGACATTTGCCATTAGAAAACTAACGGTATCCTTCCCAAGACCAGGGATAGTTGGGACCAAACATTAGGTAATGTCTTTTTTTTTATTTATTTTTATTATATTCAAAACTAGTTAGTTTGCTAGGTCTATTCAAGCTGCACCTCTTAACTCCCTATATATAGAGAGAGAGAGAAGCTGTAGAATCAATGATAATGCTCTTGCAGGAGTCTTTTGTGTACCTTTGCTCATGTTTCCATGTCTCCTTTCATTCATAATTCATAGTACAAGTAATAATGCAGTTTGCATTGTAGTAAAGAGGGCTTGTAATTTAACTCCACCAAATACTTGGTCCTACCCACCAGATTTCTTGTTACCTTTGAATGAGAAATTGCAATGAATTGCTTATATTGTCCTATCCCAGTCATAAAATACATGAATTGGGATCTCCTCCCATAAAAAAAAAAGTTTCAATATATTCCAACACTATTTATCATCGTACAGTCTTATTGGTGGGATGTATGTTGGAACTTGGAAGGTAATAGGAGGGTTTATTTTTGAAAGGAGATCCCACTTATATAATATATAGACTTTTTTAAAACATTTTACATGGGCGTTATCATTAATTTCACTGCCCACTGCACAACTATTAGCCTTCAATTAATCCTATATCGTCAAGAAAAGGGAAGGATAAGGGCAGTTTCACATAGATAATATCCCATAAATTTCGGATTTTCTGTTTCAAGAATAAACGGATTAAATTTTAGATTCTGGGTCAAATGTTAGTAAAATCTGGAAACAGTCCAAATTGTTGATTTGGTCAAAAACCATCCAACCTGGATGGTTCACCCATTGGCACCTTGCCCTATTATTTTTATCAAAAAATTCCTTTCGGCTTCATACAATTTTTAATATTTTTCACAGATAAAAAATCTAAAACTAAATTAAAAATATAATTTAAATATAAAATAATATATATTACATGTAGAACATAATCATATATTATTTATTGATAAATTACTTATTTATACATATATATATATATATATATATGTATGAATTTAAGCATGGTCTGATCCATTCGACCGCATGGAGGTAAAAACTATTTCGACTCCGCGCGTCGGGTTTTAAAACATTGGTATCAAATGAAATTAGGAACACAGCCTGATGGCCACCCTCCTATGATGGCCTACAGGAACAAATCTGCTGAGTAGTTCGTTGGGTCGATCCATGTCCATACCCCGATACCCATGCCCGAAACAAAACGAAAAGAAATTTTAGACTTGTGTATGACTAAACGGAGGAAGTTGAAAGTAAAGCACACGGCGTCGAAAACGTGTCGCCTTTTTAGACTTTGTGGATAACAAATCCACGTGTCGATCTATGATAGGTAGAGTCTCTGGCTACAAGTCTACGACCCGACAGCTCACGTGAAATGTAGCCTCTCTTGAATGCCAACCAGGTACATAGTAATCCAGATCCGTTGATTCCCCCGAATCCTCCAAAACGAAGAAGTCTACCCCCCCCCCCCCC